TTGCATTCCCACCAACAACGCAAAGAGATCCTCTTTCTCCTCATCCTTGCTAACATCTGTCGTTGCCTCAGTTGTTAACGTTAGCCATTCTGACAGGTGTGAGGTGGTATCTCATTGTGGTTTTGATTTGTAATTCCCTGATGATGAGTGATGTTGAGCATTTTTTCATGTGTCGGCCATCTGGGTATCTTCTTTGGAAAGGTGTCTGTTCACATACATCGTATCGTTGAAGAATATAAAGAGGTTCACTGGAAGTAAATAATAACATTCATCTCTTAGAAATAGTATTCTTTGTAATTCACATTACAAAATGCTATTTTAGCTGGTTTGGGCACCTATTGAGTGGTATGGGGCGAGGAATATCCCATTTTAGAAAATAATGGTTCATGTTGGGCACCCAACCCAGCTATCAAGGAGCACCCCTCCTCTTTTAGGTCTTCTTTCCCCCTCCCCCTTTTTTTTTAAATGTTTTTTTTTTTATTTTTGAGAGACTGAGATCTAGAACACAAATGGGGAGGGACAGAGAGAGAGGGAGACAGAATCTGGAAGCAGGCTCCAAGCTCTGAGCTGTCAGCATAGAGCTTCACACAGGGCTTAAACCCACCAACTGTGAGATCATGACCTGAGCCTAAGTCAGATGCTCAGTGGACTGAGCCACCCAGGTGCCCCTCTTGTAGGTCTTCTAATTGAGAACCTGAAAGTGTGAGAAAGATTTTTCATTGGGTAGCCAAATTTCATGTCACAGGAACAAATACCAAGGTAGATATTTTACCCTTATAGGAAAGCCTCAACTTCCTTTAACTATTTTTAATATGTAAAAAAGGAAGACAGTCAACTGTGCATGAAATTTTATTTTTAGTCTAATAAAAAGTAAACATGTTTTATCTCATAAAAGGGTAAATTGCCAGTGATCTGAAGCACAGTTGTTTAAACAACTTATTTTGGCATTTTCAAAAAAATTTATAAGATTTTAATGTGTTTTGATCATATATTTGCTTATAATCTCTGCTACGTTTCTATGATAATATGACATTTTAAAAATAATATTTTTGGCAGATTTTGCCTCAGGTCATTGAAGGAGAAGTTTATAGAATCAATGTCATCTTCATAGTAATAGCAGTCACTTAGAATAATGTATTCAGTGCTTTCTTAAGTGCTTTGTGTGTATTAACTTATTATAACACTGCCATAACAAGTGAAGAAATTAAGTAATTTTTCCAAGGTCACAGAGCTGGTAAGTTGGTAGATCTGGCTTTGAACCCAGACAAACTCGCTCCATGGTCTTCTCTGCTGCTTCCCAATCCGAGATGCATAATGCTAATCTAATCTGGTGATTGAAAAAAAAGTTTCTACCATTTGGAAGAGGTGTGATAAAGGACATCTTAATATAGAATTGCGGTAGGTAAGAGAGAGAACAGTGTTGTGGTTGAAACTGGGGTAGATATGATAGGCCCAGAACCCTCATCCTGCTACTTTGACACCATCTTTCCCCTCTGTGGAGTCCCCAAAGCATCCCTGCTAAACCCATTGTGGCTGTGGAGAGAGAGGTTTGAAAAACACTTTATAAACAACCACATTTTAATTGTAAGGAAATCGAGGTCAGGAGCCTAAGAGTCTTGTCCATGATCCTTGACAGAGGCCGAATCAGGGGCTTGTCTTTCATTTATCGGGCAGTATTAATATTTCAGTTCTGTTTTCTGGAGTGTGCCCAGCATGACTGAATTAAGAATATTGGCAATTCACATTTATTTCTTAACCGTTTGAGGAGGTATAATTGGCCATGGAAAGTTTGTGTTGATAATATGTATTATTTCTGAGACTAAAATTCAACCATGTATGAATTAATATAGATAGGTAAGGTGTAATTATTTGTATCACTGATATAGATTGATACATTTTGGTACATATTGTCCCCATGGTTAATTGTTTAACAAATTAGTGGATAAAATCACACCAAAATTAAGTCTTATCCTTCAGGTACAACATATTATGTAGTTACTGTTTTTTTCTTTAAAATATTTTACTTTTGTATATTTAAGGTAGTTTTATCCTCATTTATTTTAACAATATTTTTCAATAAATCTGTATCAAATGCTTTACCAAGTACTACATGTGATTTCATGGGTTATATTAAAGTAGAAATAAGACTCCTGTCCACTAACAAATATCCAGGTATTTTTGTGTATGTTAGCAGACCTGGGTTTGAATTTCTATTCCAGTATTTAGCAGTGTGGCCTCAGTTAAATTGCTTATTAGCTTCTGTCTTTCTAGCTTCTGTCTGAAGATGAGGGTGACAGTTGCAAGAGTTGAAAGAAATGACATACACAAAGTGCTTCACACAGAACTGCGCATATGCTTACAACACATGTTGCATTGTATTATAGGGCTTTTTTCCCCCTTTTCTCTATGGAGATGATTAGGAAAATGATCCGGCAAACAAATACGTTAAAAGTTCTTTTGATTAATGAATGTTTCTGTTTGACTACAGTTAAGCTTATACAAATATTTAATAAAAGTAATTAATAGGGGTTTTTTAAAGTCTGATACATTCTAATGAATGACTAGTAGAGACTTGTACCTTAATAAAGCAGAAAGCCATGCGTTGATCTATTCACTCTTTATAATCTTCATTTGCATAATTATATGCTAAAATTCACGAGTTTGGTTTTCCAGATGGCTTCAGAATAGCTTTTCCAGAGTTGTCCAGTCTAGACCAAACTAAACATACAGCATAGGAATTTCCTTCCTTTAAAGTGTTCACATAAACATATGTTATATAAATTTGGGTGACATGATTAAAAGCTCTACTATTCCATGCAAGTTTTGGATAAGGTGTTTGTTTACATTTCGTCTGATGCTTGTTGTCCTCTCTTTCAAGTGTATGTTTCCCCAAAATTGCCCTACTAAAAGCTACAAATTGCTAAAATTCCTTCCTATTATAACTGTATTATATGTCCCTTTTCACAGAATCACTTAACTCCAGACTGTTTGTAATTACACTGGAGTTATTTTATCCTCAGGTTTTCTCCATTTCTTGATCTGTTACATTGTCTGAAGTATTTTTTAGGGCTGATTATTTTCTCTTGTTGGAAATGGACCCTTAACTACTAATACAGTTTAGCTTCCCTGGTGCAAACCTTAGTGCCTTAACTGAAAAAACTCTTCTGTGTACATACAGATGATGTAATATTTGACATAAATTGCCCAGATTGTTTTTAAATTTTTTTAATGTTTATTATTTTTGAGAATGAGACAGTGTGAGTGGAGGAGGAAGAGAGAGAGAGAGGGAGACACAGAATCCAAAGCAGGCTCTGGGCTCACAGAGGTTGAACCCATGAACCGTGAGACCATGACTTGAGCCGAAGTCAGATGCTTAACTGACTGAGCCACCCAGGTGCCCCAACCACAGGTTGTTTGTAGAGGAGGGCAGGCCTAGGGATAAACAGCCTTGATCATTCCATAGAATTCTTTATGAAACTCTATGGCCTAGTTCTAGGCTCTAAGGTTCCCAAACACTGGATTCCAAATTTGGTTCATCAGCAAAATCACCTGGGGGCTTATTTTCTAAGTTTTCTTTTAAAATATACATAGCTTCCCAATATTCATTAGTGAGCCTGGGGCACTACTATTCAATAAACCCTTGCTTTATCTAAGAGGTGAGTGGGTGAGAACTCACTGCTCTTTTGACCTATAGAATCCAGCCATTGTCATAATATATGGAGCATATATTCATCTTGTTGATTAGCCCAGAAAGCACATTCTTATTGTCCTTTTTTATTTTTATTTTTAAAATTTTTTATTTATTTTGAGAGAGAGAGAGAAATCACATGACAGGGGAGGGGCAGAGAGAGAAGGAGAGAGAAAATCCCAGGCAGGCTTCATGCTCAGCACAGAGTCCAACACGGGGCTTGAACTCACAAACCTTGAGATCATGACCTGAGCCAAAGTCACTTAACCGACTGAGCCACCCAGGCACCCCTAATCCTTTCTTTAAAGTAGAATATTAAAGTATTTACAAAGTTCTTCTGTATAAACACCTGTTTGATCACTCTAATTTGCTCCATTATGTTCTGTTTTAAATGGGCTCATTATGGATTTGAAGTACATTCCAAATATTTATTTTCTGAAATCATAATTTTTCTCATGTCATAGTCACGTGACATCACTTTATTAAGCAGTAATGAATTTATGCACATCATAGCAATACAGAAGGAGTCAACTTACTTGAAACCATAGATGAAAGGAACTGTTGTATGAGTTAAAACTGCTGTTCCTAAACTAGAGGCAAAGAGGAGGAGAAAATGAGTGGATAGATACCATTTCTATGTAAAATTCATTGTCCTACTTGCATATTTCATATTCTAATGTATCAGCCTGATATCAATGTTTGACATACAGGAGGTAATAAGTAAATATTTATTAAAATATTTTACTATTTCAGAGTAGGCTAAAATACTTCCTTTATACCAAAATCCTGCATACTTGTAATTCTTAGTCTTCCCACTTGCTTATTTATGGGAAATCTATGAAACACATACAGAAATCTGGACACAGAGCTTTTTTGGTTTTTTTCTTTAGTAAAGCTGAAATGTCTTAGGTGTGAAATACCTGAAATCTGACAGTTGTGATTAAAAAGTCAGTAATAAAAGATTATCTTTGGGATGGTCTAGATTCATGTCTTACTAATTCATATCTTCACACTTACATTTGCATAGCAGAAGTTTAAGTTCAGTTTGACCAAAAATATTGCTATGAAGTTAGAAGATGAAAATTGAAAAGGGCATAGATATAAAAGACCAGAGTTTAGAAAAAAAAGTGGTTTACGGATAAGAATAACATTCAACTCATGAGAATTACTGATTTCTTTATCTCCTTAAAAGGAGAGGAAGGTGTTGATGCATATATAGTCCAGGGATGATAGCTGAAAAGGGTTAAAGTAGAAAAAATATTCTGATACTGCCCTTCTCAGAAATTTAAATGTATTTTCCAAGGGAAATAATTACAACAAAGGTTTGGAAGAGGAGGATAGGCAGTTGTTAGAAGGTAAATATATCTTAAGAGATGTATGGGGCACCTGGGTGGCTCAGTCGGTTAAGCGTCCGACTTCTGCTCAGGTCATGATCTCACATTCGTGAGTTCGAGCCCTCTCAGCTGTGCTGACAGCTCAGAGCCTGGAGCCTGCTTCGGATTCTGTGTCTCCCCCTCTCTCTACCCCTCCCCTGCTCACACTCTGTCTCTGTCTCTTAAAAATAAATAAACATTAAAAAAAATTAAAAAAGAGTCTGAGAAGGAAATATTTCATTTTAAACATTCAGAGTATGAGGTATATGTAACTTGAAGTGCTGGTAAATATAGGAGGGAGTTGCATGTAGCGTAAAAATTTTATATAATTGTTCATGAGATAGCAAAAGTGAAGAAGATAGTAGCTTGAATTTAGCTACGTTAGCCAGAGAAAGGAAAAATCATAACTGGAAAAGATGAGAAGCAGAGATAATTCTTAAAAATTTGAGTAAGTAATGCTGAATAAAATGTTACTGATTTGGGAAGGTTGAAGTTGCAGAATAAACCTAGACCAAACTGTCAGCAGTGCAAGAGAGGTCAGGGTCACAGAAGGGTATGGGCTAAAAGCTCCACTCAAACTACTAGTCAGATGTTTGCACATGATGCGGGATTAGTGTGGTCATTAACTGCGTGATTAGTAATCCTTAAAATATGTGCGTATATTTATATATATTATATACAATAAACATGCACACAGACAAACCTCTTCCAAATGTAACTGATTTAAAGGAGATTCTTTTTTCCTTACCCAACAGGGATATAGCTAGTGCAATAAAAGAACTTCTTGATACAGTGAATAATGTCTTCAAGAAGTACCAATACCAGAACCGCAGGGTAAGTTTAGTAGAAGCTTTATAAGCTACCACCTTAGACATTGCTTTACACTTAGTTGCTTTATTGAATTAAATACTAAGATGGTTTGATTATGGGAAATAGTTTTGTATCGTTAACCACTGGTTTTGTCATTGAATTAAAATATGCTGTTACATATATTTAAGTAAATACTTCTGAAAATTCTAATCCGTAATATAAAGTCCATTCTGTATTCTGTGTAATCTTCCCGTCTTTGATTTTGGCTTTTGTGTTATTTCTCTTTTCTTATTTAATATTTTTTTTCTTACTATGTTTAATGCCTATAGGCACTTGAACACCAAAAGAAAGAATTTGTAAAATACTCCAAAAGTTTCAGTGATACTTTGAAAACCTATTTTAAAGATGGCAAGTAAGTAGTGTCATTTATCATCCTTGTCTTTTAAAGTTAAATTATGTAGTTTTATATAATACTAAAACCATGTAAATTACGCCCTTTTACTATATTGTTAATACTCGAGTTAACTAGTAACAAAGATAGACTGTTTATAAAAATAGCATGTGGTTGATAATCCAGCCATAACTAGTTGAGAGCAGAAGGTGACAGACTTTTTCTGAAATAGGCCACGTGGCAAGTATTTTGACTTGGGCTTGTCAGAACTATGTACTTTACCTCCACTGTTGTGGTACAAAAGCAGTCATAGTATGGGAGCAAGTGGCATTATGGCCATGTCCTAACAACACTTTATTTACAGACACTGAGATTTGAATTTTGTATAATTTGCACCTGTAACATAATATTTTTCTTCTTCTTTTTTAACCATTTAAAAATACAAAAGCATTCTTAGCTTGCAAGCCATGCAGAAACATGGGGAGTGAGATTGGCTTACTACCCTACTTTACCAGCCCCTGAGGCTGTGGTTCTTAAATTTTAGTAGCCTCAGAATCACCGGGAGGGCTTATTAAAGAACAAATTGTCCATTCTGTAGGTCTAGAGTGCACCCAAGAATCTGCATTTCTAAGAAGTTTCCAGATGATACTGATGCTGCCAGGTCTGTTGAGAACTAAAGTTAAAGCAGTGGTTCTTAATGCACTTTGCATATTAGAATCACTTGGGTTCAGTTTTTAAAAATTCCAGTGCCGTGGTCTCAATTTCGGAGGTTCTGATTCAGTTAGCTTGGAATTAGGGTTTAAGTCTTTTTAAAAAGTATTCCAGGGGGTGCCTGCGTGGCTCAGTCAGGCATTCCGCCTGTATTTCAGCTCAGGTTGCCATCTCACAGTTTGTGAGATCGAGCCCCGTGTCGGACTCCGTGCTGACAGCATGGAGCCTACTTGGGATTCTCTCTTTCTCCCTCTCTCTCTGTACCCCTACCCCATTCTCTCTTGCTCTCAAAATAATTAAACTTAAAAAAAAAAAAAAGTATTCCAGGTGATTTAAAAGTGCTGCAAAGGTTGTGACTAACTTGTGGAAGGAGGGAAGCTTTCAGGGTCCTTCTACGAGTAGTATACTAAAAAGGTAAATTGGGCGTTGTTTTTAAAGTCAGAAAAATCATCTAAATAGTGATTATTGCATTTATAACTGGCAGGGGCCTCTAACATTTTATCCTACCATTTGAAATTTAAAGATCCTTAAATCCATGTCAAACCATTACAGTATTATAATAATATTTAAAAAAATAAAATACATTAGAATGGTCTGTTAATTTTCAGTTATTTTTTAACAGTTCAAGTAAGTTGAAATATTTACACTTATATTATAAATTAAAGATACTGAGCTACATTTTATTAATGGTTTTGTGTTATTCCCTACTACTGTTCAGATAGTCTAGGGGAAATGTTCCTTGACGACTTAGCTTAATAAGCTTGCAGGTGTGTTCTGAAAATAACCTTACATCTGTTTTTCCTTGGTCTCCACTGCTAAGCCCAAATAACCAAAACACATTAAAAGAATAATTTACTTGATGGGATCATTATTTCTGATTCTAATTAAGAACTATCATGAAATAAACACATTGAAAGGTTGAAATTCCTTTAGAGCCTAATTTTCATTAATCTGAAGATACGTACTCTGCATATGGATTATTCAGTCTCCCTGCCACTACTTTTTCTCCATTCAGTAGCTTCTTTAAATTATAATTATTTGCGTATGAATAACGTGCCACGAGTTTTGTACCTTCTTTCTCAAAATTGGAAACTGTTACCAGAACCTGATCTTTGAGCCATCTTTCAATAGAGGGATGTATTTGCATTAATTCCACTAATTCTTTCTGGTCCATCTTTTTTGAGAAATGTCTAGGATAAAGATACAAGTTTTAGCTATGATACTTAGAAACTGATAAGACCACACTATGGGACTAGGGCATCAGTTCTTTGTCCCAAAGATGGGCTGATAGAAGAAATGTGTGTAGCACAAAGTAATTTCTAAGAACATATATTTATATATCATCAGCTTTCAATATTGAAGCCACATGATTATTTTAAAAGTAGATTTATTCCAAAAGTAGTTTAGAATTCTCCTGGTTTTTTGTTTTGTTTTTTGTTTTTGAAAGAAGGTAAGAGAGATTGGGATAATTCAGATTTCGAGTAATTAACTTTTTTTCTTAAGTATCATGTCCATTGATACAGAGATTTTGAGGAGAAGATTCTATTTTGGTAACTTACGTGAAATCGGAGCTGGAAACTACATTGAATCCTGTTTGGCCAGTTTGTTCAACCTAGCCATGAGATCTGGGTTTTGAGGTGCCACCTATCATTAGCAGCCCAACACCTTATTGCCAGCCAGAACCACTAGGGGGCAGTAATTCCTAGGATAGTTTCAAATGATGCAGGAGCATTCAGTACCAACTGGTATGAAGGATAAGATCCTCAGTACTAACTTGCCTTTCTTTTTTTCCCCCCTAAATTGATTTCAGTGCTACTGTTAGCAGATGGTGTCAAGTATAAATATTTTTAAAGGATGATTTTTTTTTTTTTTGGTAAAATTAATGCTTTTTTTTTTTTTTTTTAAACAGGGCAATAAATGTGTTCATAAGTGCCAACCGACTAATTCATCAAACCAACTTGATACTTCAGACCTTCAAAACTGTGGCCTGAAAGTTGTATATGTTAAGAGATGTACTTCTCAGTGGCAGTATTGAACTGCCTTTATCTGTAAATTTTAAAGTTTGACTGTATAAATTATCAGTCCCTCCTGAAGGGATTTAATCCAGGATGTTGAATGGGATTATTGCCATCTTACACCATATTTTTGTAAAATGTAGCTTAATCATAATCTCACACTGAAGATTTTGCATCACTTTTGCTATTATCATTCTTTTAAGAATTATAAGCCAAAAGAATTTACGCCTTAATGTGTCATTATATAACATTCCTTAAAAGAATTGTAAATATTGGTGTTTGTTTGACATTTTAACTTGAAAGCGATATGCTGCAAGATAATGTATTTAACAATATTTGGTGGCAAATATTCAATAAATAGTTTACATCTGTTAAACATTTCTTTACTTGAAAAAATACATATATATATATGTGTATATATATATATATGAATATATATATATATGATCAGAAGACCAAGACAACTTGGTGTAATGTCTAAAGAACTTCTAACGGGAGCTTACTAGCAGTTTATCAGATAATAAAGCAACAAGAATTCTATTTTTTGGTCCTTAGTCACTCTGGGCAAACGGTAGCCAATGGAAATATTTTTGTTAGTTATTATATATGAGGTACTGAATATTTTTGCAACCTGTTTTAAGAAACTTATGAGAAAGAAATGGCAGTTTATAGTGTCTTCACACTGTAATGTCACTTCTTGAACTCTGTGACAATGTAAAGTTAAGTTTTTCTGGTATGCTGGGCCCTACCTAATAAGCTTTGTACCTTTTTTTTTCCAAAAATAGCCACAACTAATAGTAATTTGGAGCTATGCCAGTGTTAGTTGGTTTGGAATTGTCATGAGTTATAAATGTTATACACACTCTTTAAATATATAGAGCTTTGTTTCATCATAGAGAAGTTTTACGGAAATTATGTATCAGGTGATCATATTAAGTGATTTCATTTTTCAATTATGATAAAATAAAGGGAAACTCAGGATTTGTTTATCTTTTATAAAGATTTTAAATGTTAAGCTAAATTTCTGTTTGGCAATACAAATTTCTTTGCTATAATGCAATTTAGGTTTTTTTTAACTTTTTTCTTTTCTAAAAATATAAAGAATTATTATCTTGGGCAACATAAGAGGATATCATCCTATTAGATATGAACAGGAAATATATGGAAAGAAGCAAAAAAAAATAGACAATTGGATGAAATCTTATCATTTATGGACATTTTACTGAATTGTTTTTTTTTTTTTTTTCCAAAAGTTCATAGTAAAACAAGTGGAATTGGTGATTTTAATACTATTTATTTTTGATATAAATTATTCACTCTTGGAAGTAGACAGATGGTTGTTTGCAAAATAGACTTGTGAATATATGAAGAAAAAATATACTGTTTTATCTTTTTCTGAGCAGCAGACTTTTATAACATAAACTAATACTATATTCCCTCCAGTTGTCCTGACCTCTTTAACGGAACTCACCAGTTACCAGCCATTCCCCAAACCATCTGTTTTTATAACCCATCTGTCTTTCCATTTCACTGTCCAGTATCCCTGGTTTCCATTTACATGAAGTTTACCACAAAGTTTACTCAGAAGGGGGGTTTGTTCTCAGGATAATGCAGTTTCCTACATGATCCTAATGGGGCCGCGTTTGGGTCAGTGAGGAAAGGGTCAATATGGCCCTAGTCAGATTCATCTCCAGAGAACAGGAAAAAAAGGAGGAGGAGAAAACATTTGTTGAGCACCCTTCTCTTTGCCAAGAATACTTTGCCAAGTATTCTAATTACATTCATTGAATTTAATTCTCTTAACAGTCCCATGATTTAGCTGTCTGCCTTGCAGTTAAGGAAACTGGCTACCGGCACTTAAAATTACAAAGCTAGTAACTGCTGGTGCAGGGATTTGAATTCAGTGTTTGCCTCCATGATCTTTCCACTGATCTGTACTTCATTCATTGCTGAAAATCCATCTGGCTTAGAATACTAATTCCCTAACACCACCTGACAAAACACTCCTCGTCCACAGGGAAATGGGAAAAATCAGGACAGTGTGAGAAGTTTTGAGAAGTTTTAAATCTAAATTTCTGCATTTTAGAGGCCCATTCTCTCTCTCTCTCTCTCTCTCTCTCTCTCTCTCT